TTCCAGCAGTATGTAAATCTAATGAGGATATCCGCCCATTCACCAATCACAGTTCAAAATGAACTACTCCTGGAACAGATATTAGTGGGCCAATAAACATCATTATAGACATTGAGGATTTGCAGTTTTGTCAGTGGCCTAGTAGAGGGCTTTGCAAGCTCATTATCAGGAATTGTGAATTTCATCAGTCCCAGGCACTTACATATTGAACCAGACAATATCGGTTTCTGATTGGCTTCAACAATCTCAAATTCAAGCTTGTGTATATTTTCACATATGCTGCACTTTGTTTGGAAAAGTCCCAATTATTCCATTAGTTCCCCTTAATATAGCTTCAGCTTGGTGCTGGTAGGCTGAAATGGTGCCCTGGGTGCCAGTTTAATCTTGTCTTTCAAACTCATCACATCACATGTTGCACCAGAATCCAGCTGGCAGGGTTGGCATATATTATTCAGTCTGAGATTTACAAACCATTTTTTGCCCTTAGCCTTTACAGCACCAATGCATTCCAATTGAGTAAATCACATCCTTTCTTCTTGACAGACATACTCCAGCAAAATGATTTAGCCTACCACATGATCTACAGGTTTTCCCATATGCAGCACACTGTTCTTTCTCTCTCACATGTATACTGCCACAGTACTTACATGATGTAGACTTGCTCACAGGTGAGGTGCTTTGGTGTTGATGCTTGTGCTGGTGGTTCTTCAAGCTTAGCTGTTGCTTGAAGGCTGCATAGATGCTGTCAGTCTGTTTATCCATCTCCATAGCTCTCATATGTTTGTCAGTAAGTTCTGCAGTGCGACATATCTCAATTTCCGCATGTAGGTTTGAATCATTTTCCCTCAATAGGCGGCAGTGGGTATTTTCAGTATTAATACCTATAACTATTTTGTCACGAATAAGTTTATCTCTCAAGGAGCCAAAATCATAGCTTGCAGCTTTTTCTCTTAGCCTTGTGAAAAAGTGGTCTATTGATTCACCTTGCTTGCAGCTGCCGAAGATATATCTTTCATATATTAAATTTTTTGCAGATCTGAAGAAAGCTTCTAATGCATCAAGGATGGCTTTAGTGTCATTATTTTGCTCCTCTGCAAGGTTCAAAATATTTCTTAACAAATTGGGCAGAAGGACAGAAAGGTTTTTATCATTGTGGTATGTGCAATGCATGCAAAAACTCTGATTGCACTAATAAAACTAAGAAAAGTTTTGCATCAAATGTAACTGGAAAATCTTTTAAGATAAAATCCCCCATCACATGCCAGTCAAAAGGAGTGATATATCTTTTAATATGTGAGTGTGGATTACAATATATGGGAAAAACCACTAGGGCACTTAATATACGTATAAGCGAGCACATAAGAGTTATCAAAAAGGGTTTTATCAACCATAGTGTATCCAAACACTTCCTTGAAAAATACAACTCCGATTCAAAAAAAACTGGAATTCCATGCTATGGAAAAAGTTACTACGCATTGGAGAGGAGGGGATTTCAACAAAAAATTAAGTTTACAAGAAACCACACACACTGTATTCATACACTACACACATTGCATTCATACACACACACCACACACTGCATTCATACACACACACTACACACACTGCATTCATACACTCACACACTGCATTCATTATATATACAAAATAAATATTCAATTAATGTAATTTTTTTGGGATCTAATTTTATTTAAAAATTTACCCGTAGCTGCTGCATTTCCCACCCTAGTCTAATACTCGAGTCAATACATTTTCCCAGTTTTTGGGGGTAAAATTAGGGGTCTCGACTTATACTCGAGTATATACGGTATTTATATTTTTATTTATTTACTATTTATTTGTGTTTGGGTGAAGGATATAGTTCTTATTAGAATAGGTATCTGTTTATACATTGTCTTTTTAATGAAATAATTTTTATCATATTTTTTTCTCTCTTTTATGGCTAAAATAACATATACTGTGGACTATCTGGCATCTAATTGCAGATCAATTTGATCTGGACGATATACATAGTGCCAGATATATATTACATAAAAGACTGCCGTTCTTTGAACTATTATTTATGGAGACGTGGAGTCCGAAGAAAGGTGGAGCCAACTACTTAGGAAAAACGTGACGATAATACGTCGACCGAAAGTAGACGCACGACCATCTTGGAAAACAAGCCGACCGGAAGTAGGCACACGGCCATTTTGGAACCCCGGAAGACGCTCACCGGAAGTAAAGTCACGTCCATTTTAGAATACCAGATATTAAAATGAACATGTGTTTTCTTTATTTTTTTTCTCTATCTTTATTTATGTATGTCAAAACTGGAAGCAACACCATTTTCTTTTTTTTTTTTTCTCTCTTTATGCATGTCAAAAACGGAAGCACAACCATCTTAGTGGTGGTGAGATGCTTCCTGGAATGACCAAATTTGGGTATTCACTTACCATTTCCTGCTGCTACTCCTGTCTCCAATGTGGTAAATTGGAGGCATATATAGGTGGGTCAGCAAATGGGAGGATATACTGCACTTGAAAAAGACCCTGGAGGGTCGAAACGCGTTGTGCTAGCTGCTGTGTCAGCAATTTCTGTTTTTATTATTTTATACCAAATAAATGTTTATTTTAACACTTACCTGGTTCCTGAGTTCCTGCTAAGATAAACCTGTTACAAACATCTAAGAGGAGGATCATATCCAGCGTATCCCTTGGTGGATGAAATACCTTTACAGTCCAGAGCCTAACTTATGTGGCTCTGGAAAGTGTGAGTGAACCTCTTTTATTCTGCACATATTGTAAATAGGTTTCAACAGTATACACTATGTTGTTTTCTTGTATATATTATATATAGGGTCCACAGTTACTGTTTGTTGCTGAAAATAGGACCTATACAAGTTTTTAAAGGTAAAATATTCCACTGTTTGTGCACTTTCACCTTTTTTCTGTTCACTATATCTTTCATTTGGTATAATAAGTGACTGTACACCGAGGTGTTTTTAAGCTGTACCAGTTGTAGTATTTTGTGTATAGCGTCCTTTTCCCTTCTATTGTGTATTTCCAAGGTTCAAAATATACTTGTAAACATGTTAGCACTCACTGCCTATCACCCTCCTCAGTGTGACTACTCAGCCCTGTAGCTAGGGAGCAGGGGAGGGCTGGCAGCCTTAGGCCTGGGGGGCAAAACCAGTCAAGTGGCCCATTGCACCACCAAATCAGTGCAATGGTGCCCACCTTTTCCTGGTTTTTTAACGGATATTGATGTTATGCTAATCAGTAGCTCTTTGCCATACCCGCTCCTTCATGGCTCTGACTTTCAATGTAGGCTGAGAATCTCTGAGGCTGTGCTCTGACTCATTAACTGAGCGTCGGAACCATGAGGGAGAGTCTATAATCTGGCTGCACCTACTGCTGTTGCGCACCAGTGGACCACCAGCGAATCGTTTAAACTGAATAGGCTGGTGTCCCCAACTTGTGAGCTGTGTTGTCCGCGGGGCGCCTCTTTCGTGATGGCACCCTGCGTGACCGCACAGCGTGCACACCCCAATGGCTTGCCCTGCTGACACACACTGATTTTACTACTTAGAAATCCCTCAATATTAATACAGACATCAGAGTAAACACCAATAAACTGTGGAAACAGAGCTGATCCCCCCAAATTTATAAAGATTTGCTTACTGGATTTGTTGTAAGATTAAATCATGCCTCCTCCTCTCTCTCTCTCCCATGCGCTGCTCTGTAGGCTGGGAGTAAGTGAAGAGTAATCACAATTGTAACGGACCGTTTTGCAGAAAACGGGAAAAAAAACGCTTAGACGATAATCCCCTTTCAGAGACAGGCACAGCTACTGTAGAATCACCAAAACTCACGAACTGAATACAAGTGAATGCTCCAAACTCCCGAACGGCATACAAGGGAATGCTCCAAACACTCGAACTGCATACAAGGGAATGGTCCAAACACTCGAACTGCATACAAGTGAATGCTCCAAACTCTCGAACTGCATACAAGTGAATGCTCCAAACTCTCGAACTGCATACAAGTGAATGCTCCAAACTCCCGAACGGCATACAAGGGAATAAGGTAGCATTCCAAATACACGAACAGGAACCATACGAATTGCTGCTACCAGACGAACAGGAAAAGCTCCCAAGCGGCTTACACTCCTGGCAATCAGTCCTTAGCAGCATACAGTAAATCCCCCCAAAGACGAGACAGAGCTCCATGTTGAGGGTCAAGCAGTGGTCTGTTTAATGAAGGCTACCTGCCCGGCTTTTATGCAGGTCTCCCACCTGGTGGACACTCCTAGGGGACCAAATGGGAGACTGTGACAAGGGACAGACAAGTAGACAAATAGGACACACAGTCACAGTATATTCCCACAATGCATCCTGGCTTCCTCCCCTCTGCCCTGAGAGATAATTGAGAAGTAACTCAATTATCTCCCAAGACAAAGGCAAAACTCCATTACACATGTGGGGACACAAAACCAGTATTATACTTTAAAATACATAAAGTAACATTTACTACATAAAACACAGATATGTAACATATCCCCAGATAGCTCAGGTCTGAGTGCACATTATTAGGTGAATGGCACTCAGACCACACGAATACAGTTTAATCGCCATGGAGCCAAAGTCTTTACAGTCATTTTCATACGAATGGGCTCCATGGGATTCCTATCTGGGGTATAACCTATTCAAACAGAACTACCGAACACCGGGCCGTTCGTGCACTTCCACCGAACAAGAAGGGAGGTCGGCGGCTTCAGTGGTGTTCGCGCAAAACTGTGTCCGATTTTAATTCCATGAAAATAGGGGCGAACACCGCTGTGCATTCGTATGTTTAAAATTGCCGCGACCTCATGTTCGGGATACGAATGGCGGCCACCCAGCATTCGTCAATTAAGCTGC